TGACATACATATGGGCATTCAGAACTGGGGTCTGAGTGTCCACTGTTTGGAGAATGGCAGCCCCATCTACTGCAATGAGCTTGAGGCCTGCTTACTTACTTGGTGAGGCCAGACATGGAAAGCCCCAGGGATAGCCGCTTTCTGGCCCAGTGTCCACACATGCAGCCAGACAGGGGCCTGGAGGCTTGGGAGATGACCAGGGCTCAGGGTCCCCCTCCCTTCTCTCCACAGATGCCTGGAATACTGGCCTCCCGGGCCTCACACATGAGCCCAGGGCTGCCTTCGCCTGTATCAAGGGGACCAGGACTGTTTAGTCTGCTGGGCACATTCCTGGATTTTAAAAATAAATAGCAGATTATGAGCGACTTAGTCGGATGCTGTCATTAGGCCAGGCCAGAGGCTTCTGAGGTGTCCCTTGGGAGGGAGCAGCAGGAAAGTCAGGTTGGAGGTGTTTGCCTGAGACTGGGATCTCTGTCTCAGCCGTAATTTATAGTGGAGATGCTTCTAGCCCTCTCTGGGGTCTCAGAAGTTCTAATAATACTACGAATGACAATACGATAATGATAATGATCATTACCACTTATTGAAAGCACTGACTGTGTGTCAGACACAGTGCTAGGTAATTTATAGTCTCTCAATCCTCACAACAGTCACCATTATTAGGCCCACTATACAGATGAAGAAATCGAGGTGTAGAGAGGTGAAATAACATTCTCAAGGCCATATGCCTAACAAGCGGTGTCAGATTGTGTGCAAGGCGGTCTGACTCCCATGCTCCCACTCTTAACCACTATGCTATCTTGCCTCTCCAGGCCTCGAAATAGACAGCAGCATCCCATGTCCTCAGCCACCCTAAACACACACACGCACACACCCATCACCAGCCTTTCTGCCGTTCCCAAGGCCCTTTCCAGCCTACATGGAGCCATTCTCCACTGTGACTCCCTTTTTCCATTTCACCCTTCACTAGATCATTTTATGCCTCTATTCCCTCTGCTAATTCAAACTAATTAAAGTATAAAATAGAATAATTGCTTCCATCCCCATACATTTTTCCCATCTACCCTGAGTATAGAGTTAGATTCCCTTTCTGGGAGTGGCCAGGCTGACAAGTTGGGTGGAAACTGGGGCTATCAAGTTTCTTTTCATCTTGTGACTTGCTTTTTTACTTGGCTCGTCGCCTGATTCTCCCTGGTCCCACCGTCTGACTTCCATTAGACACTGAGGATATGGTAGCGACTTGAATTCCCTCCCATAACATCTGCCGGTCGATTCGCTGTTGAGGAAGCTGGGGTGCACTTTGTAGGGAAGAGTCAGGCATCCTATCCGTGGAGCACCTGGGCAATTAGTAGGATCGGGGAATTGGTTCCCAAATGTTCCCCTGGGACTGGCCAGCATTGGGTCTATTAACAGTACATTAACATCGACTTGTTAGGCAGTGGCACTAACGACCCAACACTTCTTACTAGTCCTATTTCTTAATTACATTTAATTAACTGAGAGAGAGAGAGAGGGAGAGAGAGAGAGAGAGCGCGCGCGCACATGAGCCCATACTGGATTGTTCTAGCTCTGTGGGGAGATGAAAACCTGTCTAGGCAGAACTGGAGGGCAGAGACTTGGTTCTACTCTCTCGTGGCATCAAGGATACAATAGATGCCATGATTTGGGGGAGGGGGAGGGGAACAGGGAGACGAGCTGGGGACGTGGTGAAGGCAGGGGTGAGAGCAGGCTGCCCAGAGATTTACTGGAAAGTGAGGCGGTGGGAAACCCCATTCCCACGGTGTCTTATAAGGTCTTAGGTCTTTTAGGGAACTCCAAATTGTTAAATGACTGCCTCAAAACAGGAATCTGCTTATCCATAGACACCAGCGTTTCTACCCTCATTGCAGTGTTTACCCTTCGGGGAAGGAGTTCATATGGGCATGCAGGGACTCATAAAACTCGTTAAGAAAGTTCTTTTGGTCTAACCTCAAGGCTGTTTCCTGTGCTTTGGGGTTTGTCTTCTGGAGACGGAGAAGAGTCCTGATCCCAAGACCTTAGACAAGTCTCTTTAAGGTCTGAAAGAGCCTCTAGAGAGTTCGATTTATTATCTCCATCCTTCAAGCTGAGGAAACTGAGTCCCTGCGAAGTTCAGGGTCTAGGTCAGCCAGCTGGTTAGAGGGAGGCCAGGGCTAGGACACAGGCCTCCTGGCTCGGCCTGAGGCCTGCCGGGTGTGCCATCACTTAGCTTCCTCCTAACCACCACCCACGGTCACCACCCTTCTGAGTAATGGGATCATGAAGGCTGAAAGCTGGGACAGGCCGTGAGGAATCTGAACAATGAGTATTCTCGGTGCGTGAGGTGGTGTGAAAGGAATTCCCCTCTTGCTGTCTCAGCCAAGCCTCACAGCGACCCTTGTAAGACACACTGAGGTGACGTGACTTGTCTAAGGCCACCCGGTTATAAAATGTTGAGAGCTTCAGACCTCAGTTAGAGCAAAAGCTGAACTAGAATCCACGTCATTTGACTTCATTTCCATTGACTGTTCTCTTCCCACACATTCACCTGTTTCCTTTAAGAGGTCCGAGCTGTCTGTGAACACCCGGTGTACTCTTGGCCGCTTGGCCTCAGACAGATGGCCCTCCTGAGGTGTTCCTGGCCTTCAACCCTGGACCCAGCCCCTGGTGAAATCACCAGGCTACCTACTGCCCCATGGCCTGCGGCTCTCCAAGTGACAGGCCTCCGAGCTCCACCACCAGTCCCCCTCCGACTCTGCCTGCTGATCACAGCTCCACCTGGCATAGGGAGCTCCCTTGACTAATATCTCACCTGATTCAAGATAGCCCCATGGCATTCAACCCAAATTCTTCCTATATCTGCTCAGCATGACTGGCTACTACTGAGCCCTTCTGTTTGGCGCCAACTGACAGGCACCAGGAAGCAGATGCAGAAGATAAGACCAAAGGAGGGATTATTTAGAAATAAGCTATGCCGACACTTGGTTTAGCCAGAGCTGATGCTCTCAGAGAGGACATCAGATATGGTTTCAAGAGGTCATTGTATTCCCTGAAGGCCACTTATCAGCCTCCAGCCCTCCTCTTTGGCCACGTTTTGAATTCAATTTCAGAAAGCATCTCATTTGACTACAAGATATGCAGCCCAAATATGTGCCTTGGCATCGTCTCAGTTCCACTGAGGTCTCGCTGGTCACTTCTATTTGCTGTCTCTGCTTTTCTACTTCATGGGGTTCAGAGAACCCAAGAAAGAATTTTTATCCAGAGTTACCAGCCTGGTCCTCGGCCATACATAACGTCTTTTGAAAATATCATGTTAACGTAGGTCTATTTGATCCCAGTGACTATCCTTTAATGCACCGGTCTACGGGGCTCTCTCTCCACCCACCCTTCTATCTGTAGATATTTCTGCAGAAGCATCTGGAATGGTGTTCATCAAATGTTAACATGGTGTTACATTTGGGGGTGTGGGGTTTGGGAACTTGTTATTTCCTTTTCTGTATGTACTGTTTGAATTTGTATGGTGCCCACCTATCAGTTTTGTTTAAGAAATAACCTTTTGTCTTATAAACAAAGAAAAATAGGAAGGAAAGGCAGAGGATTTATAGCCTCCAATCTGATGATAAAGATTTCCTTGTTAGACTGTAAGCAACTTAAGGGTAGTGACCAAGTCCCATTCATTTTGATGTTTTTCCAGTACATTGTTCCCCATAAATACATGCCCAGTAATTTTTTTTTTTAGGGTTACAAGTTTGCATCTGGACTTGTTTACGCCTCAACCATGGGGGTTACAAGAAAGAAGGTAAAAAGACAGGTGGGTTCAAGAGGATCTGGATGTAATTTGCATACAATTAGCATATGGTTTGTGTCATCTCTTCTCAGGAACTAATTTTCAAGTTAAAGTTGCATCCCTGCTTCCCTTATGCCATCATGTGCCCATTCACCTCTTCCTTCCTCCACTCATCCCTTGTCCCCGATTCAGAATTCACACATACAAAAAGGGAGGAGGGAAAGAGAACTCTGGGCAGGGTGAACTTGATGACAGACACCTGGAATCTTTGCAGAGTATTTCGAGAATGACACCTGAGTGGGGAGGTACCCTGAGAAAGCTCACTGGTCCTCCAGCGCCACGTCCTTGTCTAGCCTCTAAGTCAGTGTCCCCAGCACCAAAACAGATTCACAGTCCTTCCCCTTTTTCTTTGGCCTTTATCTTACTTACCATGTTCAGGTCAATGTCAAGATCACCAGTCCTGCTGACTGTTGACCTGCTGACCGAATGAATGGAAGGTGCTAGCCTTTCCTAAGGTCTAAGCTTTGCTTCCTGCACCTCCACTGATTTGGGGGATCCCCTGTCCTTCTCTTGTCCTTCACCATGGCTCTCCCTGCATTTGCCTTCTCTCTGCTCCCACATATTCAGGTCAAATATAACCCAAAGGAATAACATTTCATCCAAGAGGGTGTGGAACCCACTCAGGTGTTACCCAGAAAAGGACAGAATTCGATTTCTCAGGCCTTCCCATCTCTGCAGAAAGAGCTGCAGCTTCCCAGAGCTGGCCAGCTTCTACCCTGCATCAGTCTAAGACTCAACCCAAGATTTTTATCTCCTTCTGGGGACCTATCTTGGGTCTATCTCTCCCAGCCTGGAGGCCTGGATTATTTACACCTCTCTGGCTCCCTTGAGCAGCAGACTGTCGGCTCGGGAGCAGTAAATCTGGCTCGGGAGCAGTAAATCTACCTCCTAATCACACCAAGCTGCTTCATGCAGTCTGGCCCGTTCTTGTGGGGCTGTTCATCACATGCTGAGACAGGGTCTGCGGCCTAAAGAGAGGCTCCAGGAAGTGGCTGGCCCCAACTGCTTCTCTCTGACTCCCTGCAAAAGCTTCCTAGGACCCCTGAGCAGCAGGCCCAGGGGTCTCTCTTGTTTGATGGAATAGTTTCTGAACAAAGGTCACTGGTTATCTGCTCCTCCTGGGCTCTGGAAAGGAGGGATGTGTGTCAGCACTTACTTGTCTCTCAGACATAATGTATAGGTAGCGCTGATCAATGGAGAAGGCCATGTCCCGGAGGATGGGGCTCCCATCTTTGAGCACGGAGACCATCTCATATTGGACCCCACCATGGGGGGGACCATCGGCTCGAATCTGCAAAAGAAAAAAGGGCATCCTCAGCATCTGTACTCAGTGGTCCCCTGTGGGTTTACCTGCAGGTAGTTTATAGAACATAATCCCAACATCCTGCCCCCCAAGTGCTACCCTGAAGCAGGCTAGGTTACAGGGAAGACAGAGGTGCTTCTTATTTCAAACAGCCCAACTTCCACCAAGAGGAATCCTTTTCCAAGCAGTCTGAGTGTGCTGGTCTGGGACTTCTGATGGTGAGTTTATTTGTGTGCACGTATATATTTTTAGGTGTGAGCTGAATATCCCTATATGGTTATTCTTGTGTGTGTGTATATATATTTATAGCACTGCATGATGAGGGTGTGTGGGAGTGTGTGCTTGTGCACACTTATTTGTGTTTGGGGTAGGAGAATCAACATCTGCACCGAGTATTTTTGCCTCGGGCAAGTAAGAGAGGATGGTGGGACCAGCATACAAACCATCAGAGAGCTGGTCATCAAGAAATTCAAGATTTTAGGATCTCAGAAAGGTCCTTCTGACCCCAAACATATCCCCTGAATGTGTGCAAATCCACCAGGAGATTTTGGTGAGCCGGGAATCCCTGAGAATCAGCCTCGGAGCCCGTCCCAGGATAAGAAGTCAGAAAGGACTAGGAGGTCATTTAGTCTGGTGCCTCTCAGCCCTGGATATATATTAGAGTGATCTGGGGAGTTTACAAAAACATATGGCTGGATCCATTCATCAGAACCTCTGTGCTTGGGGTCCTGGCATCTTCGTTGGGTTTCAAAGCTTCCCAGGTGAATCTAGTGAGTGGCCAGGGTCTAAAAGCACTGATTGTAGCCCAGTGGTTTTCAAACCAGCATGCCCTGAGAACCACCTGGAGGGACTGGGAAAATGCACCCCTGGGCCCACCCCAGGGTTTCTGATTCAGTGGGAATGAGGCCTGAGAATTTTCATTTCTAACAAATTCCCAGCTGATGCAGATGCTGCTAGCCTGGGGGTTTGAGAAGTGTTCCTCTAGTCTAAGCTCTACATGGAATTTGGAAATTCAGCGGAGAGAGGTCCCTAAGGACAAAAAGTCGATGGCAGGGAGTCCATAATTTGAATGTGCTCTCACCACTAGGTTTCCTGTTCCCAACACAGCAGCTGACTCTTGACCAATATTGCCAACCCCGGCTTGTTTCTTTGTCCTCCGTCCAACTAAACCCCCTCTAGCTCAAGCTCACTTTCCCCATGAAGCCTTCCCCAGTCTCTCCACCACACTAATTGCTCCTCACCCTGATGGCTTTTTATCCACCAGACATTTTGTCCTGGGATTATAATCAATTGACTTGTTCATCGTATACGCACTAGCTAACGTGTATTGACTACCTACTTAAATTGTTCTCTAATTGTCTCGCATGTGCGTAAGTCTGCCAACATTTTGAAGGCAGGAAGGCTTTCTATTTCTCTGAGGACGAGCCTCTGAGGACTAGAATGGAGCTGGGAACACAGCTGGTGATGGATAAAAGGGAATGCTTGAGAAATGCTTGTTGAAAGGACATGAACTATGAACCAACTGATAAAGTATCGTGGGCTCTTTAGTGCTAAATCAAAGTGAGGTCAAAAGACAATTTTCTGTGGACAATTTTAAGCTGAAGTCTTTCCCTCCTATTCCCTTTGATTTCTCTCTTGGACTTCTAACCATCTTCTTCCCTCTGCCCATTTCTCCTACCCCACCGAGAGCTCCTGAGAGCAAGGACCATGACTTATTCATTGCAAGGGCTAAGCTTGGTGCCTGACGCAAGGATGGATGAATGGATACATGTTCAGTTTTTATTGGCTGAGTAGAGAGGATCAAGAGCATTATTTCTTGCAGAGTTGGGAGGGTAGGACCAGTGCTTCTATTCAATTTTTTCTACCCTCCTGAGAATCTGTGTACTTGAGGGGCCTGAGCCAGGGTGTGATCTGTGCCCAGAGTTGGGCTGGATTGGAGTGAGTGAGAAGCAGACCACGAGCCCATTGTGGGATGGGGCACAGTGGTTCTGGAGTTCCTAGTGGCAGAAACAGCACTTTCCTGCCTGAGGCCCTGGGCCTAGACCCCAAGAGTGGGAACAATGGAGCAGGGCTAAGAGTCAGAGGTACCAGGTTCTCCTTGTCTGCTTTGATGGGTGACTTGGGGAGCTCTGGGCTTAAAGATGAGGAGGTGACCTCAGTGGAACTGAAGAAACTCTGCTCTCAGCCATTCCTACCCCAGTAACTCCCCCCTGTGGGTTGGACTGTCCTTTTCTCCTAAGCTCCTCTTTCAACCTTTTTTCTGCCTTTTTAGTGGCTTCCTGCTGTTCCAAGCTGTTGCCTTGGCAACTGTCACTAAAGCCCCTCCTTCCAGGGGAGGGGTCAGGGGGTCATTTAATTCATTCTCATAGGGCAGAGGAAGACTCTGGAGCCAGGAATGATGGTGTGGGGCTGAGGCTACTGCCTTCCACCCTGGAGCAAATCTCATGATGGATTCAAGCAGAGGGAAGAAGGGTCTCAGTCTGGGAAAATGCCCCACAATTAAAATAGTTCCCCTTAACCTTCAGAGCAGCATTCTCTCTCAGATGGACAAATCCAAAGTTTCCATGAGATCCTTCTAGAAATATAGTAGCTTTTAATCACAAAAGTTCTCGGGCTATTGCAGGAGGTAGGGGGAGATGTGATAGTCATGACTTCTTGTTGGCTTAACCTCAATATTCCCTCTCCATAAAATGGGAGAGTTCAAGCTCTGCTTTGTCCTCCAAATGGGAAATGTCCCAGTGCTTCTCACCACCCTTCGTGTGACAGCTGCTCCTCTCCAGGGATGTTTCAGTCTCCTCCGGGCACTGGCTCAGCCCCAGGAACTGAGGAACCATCCTCCCACGCCAGGGCCAGCCCAGGATCTCCCCACCTGGGGAGGCCGGTTAACCCTCTGCCAGGTGAAGCAGCCTCGTCCCTAAGAGCCTGGGCACACAAAGTCAGAAGGAGGAAAGCCATGTCTGGCCCTTTGTGGTCCCCAGGACTAGATGGTACCCATGGCAAGGTTGGAGCTGAATTGAACCAAAGATGATTTATCATCACATACTTTGCTGCATCACAGTTAGGACTAATCCCAGCCATTAACTTTTTCTGAATAAGAGACCTAAACAGTTTTTTTTTTTTTTTTTTCTGTCTACAATCCCAATCTTTCAATAAAGCAGTTGAAGCCAGAATCAAACCTACAGAAACTCTCAGACATCAGAACTGAAACTAAACCAGAAGAGAAAATGTTCTTGGTACTGAACCTGAACTAAGCTATCCTATTTCATTCAGTCTAAATCCCTGGAATGAAGAGCGGTATTGCCTAAGAAGTCTGTGCACCCCTACTTACTCCCTCATCCCATGCTATCTGCCTTGAGCTGGTGCAGCTCTCCAAGATACCAACAGGAGGACAGAGAAGATGGAGAAGGGGGCCAGGAGGCTGGGGGTCAAAGGGAATGAGGTGGGGGCAGGGCTGGCAGGCAGAAGCCAGGGGAGGCCAACTGGACGGCAGAGGTCTTTCCCTTCCCTAATTCCCTTTGCTCCCTCCAGGCAACACACTAAATTGGGACTCAGGGTTCCTGGGTTTCTGCTCTGACTGTGTTCTTGTTTGGGCTTGCTTTATGCCTAATGGTACACTTTTAGGTCAGTTACCTCATCTCCCCAAGGCTCAGTTTTCCTCTCTGAATAACACGAAGGAGCAATCTTCTCAGGGTCTATCACAGGAGAATCACAGACTTATGAAGACTGCCGGAGCTGTAGGGCTTTGGAGCCCATCTCATTCAAGGGCTTCCATTCATGGACATAGCTAGTCAGGGGTGGACCTGGGGCTCCCACCAGCTCCAGCCGGTGTGGTCCAGAGGAAAGCACATGGCTGATGAAGAGAACACCCTGTGACTGAGGAGGGACAAAGGTGGGCCCTACTGTAATTCAAGCACACGAGTCCCCATCTTTCTCTGTCTCGGATGGGAAGTTTTGAGGTTCAGTGTTGTCCTCCATCCTTGCCAGACACAGGGTGGTGGTGGAGACTGTGACAGAGTCCCAAACAAAATTGGGATTTTAAAATGCAACACAGGGCTTCCCTGGTGGTGCGGTGGTTGAGAGTCCGCCTGCCAATGCAGGGGACACGGGTTCGTGCCCCGGTCCGGGAAGGTCCCACGTGCTGTGGAGCGGCTGGGCCCGTGAGCCATGGCCGCTGAGCCTGCGCGTCCAGAGCCTGTGCTCCGCAACGGGAGAAGCCACAGCAGTGAGAGGCCCGTGTACCACAAAAAGAAAAAAAAAAAAACTGCAACAGATTGAGTCTATTCTGTGGTATCCCACAAAGTGAGTTCTCTTCAGCTTCTGAGCTTGTGTCTCCAGGGCCAGGTTTCAATGACCACAAGGATAACAATACACTGAAATAGGCCATGAATCTAATCCAAGAGAAGGGCACTATCAGACCAAGTTGCACAGGCCCCAGCCAGACATCCAACCAGGCAGAGGAGGAACATGGAGAAGGGTCAGAGGAGGGAGGTGATGCACACAGGGGAAAGCCAGTCACTTCAACCCGTCTTTCTACTTGGGCTCCTCCTCTCCTGGGAGGGCTTGACCTCAGCAGACATGCAGAGCTAGTGGTATCAATTTGCTTGGACAAAGCTCAGAAGGTGGGATAAGGGCAGTGTGCTGCAATGGAGGGTGACAGTCTCTACAAAGATGAGCAAAAGACAAAATGTGCCTAAACCATTGTACAAGGAGATTTAGGCTAGCTCTAGTAAGAATTCCTGTCATAAGGAGCCCTGACTACAGAGTGGGTGACCACAGAAGGCTGTATCTTCTTTCTCAGGAGAGTTCTGAACACGGGATGACTTCTTTTTTTTTTTTTTTTTGGTGCGGTACACGGGCCTCTCACTGTTGTGGCCTCTCCCATTACGGAGCACAGGCTCTGGACGCGCAGGCTCAGTGGCCATGGCTCACGGGCCCAGCCGCTCCGCGGCATCTGGGATCTTCCCGGACCGGGGCACGAACCCGTGTCC